AAGCAGAGATTAAATCTATACCCTTGCCAAAAGAAGAATCACAATTAAACTATTATATTTAGGTAAGAATTTGTTGTCGTTCTAAACACATTTGGAAGATATTCCACACGAATCCATCCATTTTAACATAATCTATCCCATCACAAAATTTTTTATTTTCTAACCTTACTCAGAAGATATATTGACCATCTTGGAGCAACCTCCTCTATGCTTATATACTTATTATATAGTGATTTCTAATGATTTTTCCCCTGAATAGCTACCTTATGCTTTAAATTGCTTTATACTATTTCTCATAGTATAGAGAAATATACACCTCCCACCCTACCCCACTTCCTTGTCAAGGTTCTTTGTGGTGGTCAATTTCCTCAGCTTTCTCTAGTGTTACTAAATACTGCATTTATAAAGTATAAGGGGTCACAGCATTACTCTATGTATCACATAGAAATGACCATTTTCACAACTTTCTGTGATAATGAGTCATACTGAATACTATCAAAGACCACCTCTTTAAACCTAAAACTCCACTTCTGTTACAGCACACTATCTCTGCACCACAATGCATTTACCTATTGTTTACTAAATTTTTAGTAATGCTTTATCTGCTAAAAATATTGCCTAATCATTCCCCTCTTGCTATCATTTTCATTCTAATTCTACATTTTCTCTCTCTCTCTAATAGCTTTTTTTGAGCATAAGGATGCCCTCTGCTTCCATTAATTACACAAAACAGAGAAAAATGAGCCAACTGTATTAATTAAATTTTATTTCAATTACTTAAAGGTATATCGATGTCTTTGCATGCTACTGCTTTTGCACATATCATAAGGTAAATGTGGAGGTGATTTTCTTAGAAGAGCTAAAACAGCCAGTAACAGTAGAAATACGTCATCTCTTTCATAGAAAAGCTAAAACAAAAAAAGCTTTTATTTTCTTTTTTGAACACATATTTGTCTGAATTTTTTAGTGATTCAAAATCAATTGGCGGAGACCCTCCAAGGAATTAAGCTGACGGAGAGATATTTCACTTACAAACCCAAACTCACCAAATGTTATTATGAACTTGTTTTGTAGACTTTTAAAGTCACAATGAAAACCTGAAATTAGGAATAACATGCAAACAGAAAATCGATATTTTGTAGAAGTACACAGTAATGTGATAATGTGCATAAATTTATATAGAAAGTTTCCCTTGAAAAATAGAAAATCTTATTAAGCAGCTGACCAATAAATCCAAGAAAACAGTTGGCTAATCAGACTGAAGTATCTTCCAAATGTGTCTCTTCATATTTTACTTTAGACATACTGCTGAATTACTTTGGGCTTACCTAAGGAGTACTAATTCATTTGTACATATGAACACTACTTTCAAGGTTCGGTTTCTTAATGACAGTGTAAGCTGCGGGAATTATTTCACTATATTGCAAAAACAAAAACAANTTTTCAATATAACACTTTAGACATGTATTATGCTTTAATTAGAAATACTGTTTTGCTTTCAATAAATAAATACTCTGTCTTGCTTTTAGAGTATTTATAGTCAATTACAATTAGAATTCACTGTTGAGGTGTCTGGAAGTTTTAATAAAATTTCTAGGCAGTATATTAATTTAAGGGAAAGAAGCATCTTGTGGAATCCTCAAGAACCATTAAGACTGACTAACCTTAATGATCTGTCAGGAAGAGGTCAGTGAGGTTTCTATGAGATGACTAGTGGCTTTCTTTAGAATTCTCTTTTAGACTTGCCTGAAAGTGAGAACTGATTGTTTCAGAGGGGAACAAACTAGTTTTCCTTTAAAAAAAAAAATCCTGTGTTCACTTTTAAAACATTTTTTCAGTGCTTCTCATTTTTAAAATTCTTACAATGTTGCCAACAAATTTCTCCTAATATTACAGATAGAGAATAAGAGAGCTTTCACCACCCACCATAAAATAACACTGGTTATATTCCAAATAATTTCAGTTTATTTTGCTTCTCTTTGTGTCTTTCATTGACTAAATTGCAGTACTGGTTTGGATTTTATAAATATTTTCTCAATCATCAAAAAAGAAGTAAATTAATAAATCAGCATCATTTAATACATTAGCCATCCTTCTCAACTTATTTGAAAACTGAAAGACTAAATTATACTTATTTTGGTCTTGGTGTCAACATGAAAGTAGTTGTTGCCAATACTCATCTAGTTTTTAACTCTCTGGTTCTCAGCTCCAATGTCTTATGAGTAGGTGGGTTTTCGATTATTTATGCTGGTCTTGTTCCTTATTGACATGGAAAACCACAAAGTGCCTGGCACAAAGACACTCTCAGCCCTGCCATGAATCCTGTATTAAAGCCAGTTCAAGACTACTGGAGAAGTTTCCAAACAATTTCTTGACATCCCTATTTCCTAACATCCTGAAATGGAAAGTAAACAATTTGTCTTGCTTACTCACAGTTTGAAGAAATAAATCTCAACTAAGGAGTGCTTGAAAGTAAAGATGTTTTTACTTACCACATTTCCTTTATCACAATATGAACTGAAATCATTTGATACGATTGCAGCATACTGGAGCAGCACTTTATTGATAGTCTAAGAAAGAACACATTTTGAAATTTATCCAGGTAAGTATGTATTTTTACATATATGCTATCCAGGTTAATGCTAAGTCAGACAAACTTTTCATGTCTTTTTCAGCTGAAAGGGGACCATAAGCAGAGATTAAATCTATACCCTTGCCAAAAGAAGAATCACAATTAAACTATTATATTTAGGTAAGAATTTGTTGTCGTTCTAAACACATTTGGAAGATATTCCACACGAATCCATCCATTTTAACAT